GGCCCAGCCGAGCTGTAGTTTATGTTGGCCCAGCCGAGCTGTAGTTTATGTTGGCCCAGCCGAGCTATAGTTTATGTTGGCCCTGTAGTTTATGTTGGCCCAGCCGAGCTATAGTTTATGTTGGCCCAGCCGAGCTGTAGTTTATGTTGGCCCAGCTGAGCTGTAGTTTATGTTGGCCCAGCCGAGCTGTAGTTTATGTTGGCCCAGCCGAGCTGTAGTTTATGTTGGCCCAGCCGAGCTGTAGTTTATGTTGGCCCAGCCGAGCTGTAGTTTATGTTGGCCCAGCCGAGCTATAGTTTATGTTGGCCCAGCCGAGCTGTAGTTTATGTTGGCCCAGCCGAGCTGTAGTTTATGTTGGCCCAGCCGAGCTATAGTTTATGTTGGCCCAGCCGAGCTGTAGTTTATGTTGGCCCAGCTGAGCTGTAGTTTATGTTGGCCCAGCCGAGCTGTAGTTTATGTTGGCCCAGCCGAGCTGTAGTTTATGTTGGCCCAGCCGAGCTGTAGTTTATGTTGGCCCAGCCGAGCTGTAGTTTATGTTGGCCCAGCCGAGCTATAGTTTATGTTGGCCCAGCCGAGCTGTAGTTTATGTTGGCCCAGCCGAGCTGTAGTTTATGTTGGCCCAGCCGAGCTGTAGTTTATGTTGGCCCAGCCGAGCTATAGTTTATGTTGGCCCAGCCGAGCTGTAGTTTATGTTGGCCCAGCCGAGCTGTAGTTTATGTTGGCCCAGCCGAGCTATAGTTTATGTTGGCCCAGCCGAGCTGTAGTTTATGTTGGCCCAGCTGAGCTGTAGTTTATGTTGGCCCAGCCGAGCTGTAGTTTATGTTGGCCCAGCCGAGCTGTAGTTTATGTTGGCCCAGCCGAGCTGTAGTTTATGTTGGCCCAGCCGAGCTGTAGTTTATGTTGGCCCAGCCGAGCTATAGTTTATGTTGGCCCAGCCGAGCTGTAGTTTATGTTGGCCCAGCCGAGCTGTAGTTTATGTTGGCCCAGCCGAGCTGTAGTTTATGTTGGCCCAGCCGAGCTGTAGTTTATGTTGGCCCTGTAGTTTATGTTGGCCCAGCCGAGCTGTAGTTTATGTTGGCCCAGCCGAGCTGTAGTTTATGTTGGCCCAGCCGAGCTGTAGTTTATGTTGGCCCAGCCGAGCTGTAGTTTATGTTGGCCCAGCCGAGCTGTTTTTTATGTTGGCCCAGCCGAGCTGTATGTTGGCCCAGCCGAGCTGTAGTTTATGTTGGCCCAGCCGAGCTGTAGTTTATGTTGGCCCAGCCGAGCTGTATGTTGGCCCAGCCGAGCTGTAGTTTATGTTGGCCCAGCCGAGCTGTAGTGTATGTTGGCCCAGCCGAGCTGTAGTTTATGTTGGCCCAGCCGAGCTATAGTTTATGTTGGCCCAGCCGAGCTGTAGTTTATGTTGGCCCAGCCGAGCTATAGTTTATGTTGGCCCAGCCGAGCTGTAGTTTATGTTGGCCCAGCCGAGCTATAGTTTATGTTGGCCCAGCCGAGCTGTAGTTTATGTTGGCCCAGCCGAGCTGTAGTTTATGTTGGCCCAGCCGAGCTGTAGTGTATGTTGGCCCAGCCGAGCTGTAGTTTATGTTGGCCCAGCCGAGCTATAGTTTATGTTGGCCCAGCCGAGCTGTAGTTTATGTTGGCCCAGCCGAGCTATAGTTTATGTTGGCCCAGCCGAGCTGTAGTTTATGTTGGCCCAGCCGAGCTAGTGTATGTTGGCCCAGCCGAGCCATAGTTTATGCCCATGTTGGCCCAGCCGAGCTGTAGTTTATGTTGGCCCAGCCGAGCTATAGTTTATGCCTATAAGGCCACGCTGACATGCTTCCGTAATGGGATGATATCGAACGATTGGCTGCCTTCTTAGATGTCGCCCTGCGCATGCGTGGTAAGACTTCCGTCCTGCGACAGCTTTAGCTAAGGAGTGGCGTTTTTTTTCCCCCTTCCTCCAAATCCTTCCGATCTTCTCTGGTTGCGAAATGACGATGGTAATCAGCTTATGGACCGGCCATAGACGCCCGACTCGCGAGCGCTGGGTTTGTAGAGGCTCCCTAATGAGTTCTAGCATCGCCCGTCGTTATTGCCTGTAATCCGGGCTTCGAGGAGGGGCTTTATTTGACGAGTTGAGGGAAAATAAAGAGGAAAAAAAAAGAAAAAATATAATCGCTTGGACACGTTTTTTCGAAACAATTATGTTTGAGTATAAGTTGTGAAAAGCACCTTGTTGACTATCTACAGTCAAATATTGATTTGGTTTTAATTAATTTTTTAAGAAAAAAGTTTTAATTAGTGTAATCGGTTTAAAGTTTTTTTTTAATGAGAAGTTTTCGTTTTTTTTTGTGCTGTTTTTGAAAGTCTAAAATAGGGCAAGACATATTTTGGATGCATACATTTAATTAAAAAATTTAAGAGTATTTTAATCACCTGTTAAAAATTCATAGGGGATCAATTAAAAGTGATGATTTTTTAAACGTTTTAAATTCAAATTTTAATACATTTTTAACACGTCTTTCCCCCCACGCGGATGTACAAGTGAACACTGATTTATTCTGTCGGCTTGAAAATAAGAAAACAAATCCAAACCCAAAAGTGAATTTCATTAAAAAAAATTATTTGGCTTTCCAGAAATTAAGAATAAAAAAGAGAAATTGATTTGAAGTTAAAGAAGTTCCAATTCTATTCCAAAGTTATGTTTATTTTCTTTTCTTTCACTCTTTATACTGTAATAAATATATTTAATGATTTGAAAAACAGTTCGAGTTAGCGTTTACGTATATTTATAACAATATTTAGATAGTCTCGCTATGTTTGCAATGGTTAAAAAATCGTTTAAAAAACGAACGAATACCAAAGTTTAGAGCCAGTCTATTCTAAATATAAATTTATAATACTAGGCTAAAAAAAATAATTCCTAACTGAAAATTACTTTCATTTTGCTGATATTTTAAAACCGATTATTTTTTAATTTATTTTTTAATTGTGTTAATTTAGACTCAGAATAATTAACCAAGTTTTGTGTAAAATACTTAAATGTTTGTAATTTTGTATAATTTGGTTGTCTGATCTTTAATGCTCGTAAGATTTTGTTCAAAATTATTTTGACAATAATTGAGCTTTCGAATGTCTGCTAAATGTCATGGCCGCATCAAATGTCACTAAAATGTCATTGGGCGCATCAAATGCCAGTAAAATGTAATTAACCGCGTCGAATTTTGTTTCTAAAGTACTATGGACTCTATAAATAGATAATACTTTTATAAAATGTACTATGTAGCATAAAATAGCTACCACATACAATCATCCATACTCCCATTTCCTATTATGCCTACTCCCACACCCCATAACTTGTACTTCTGCGTCAAACAACGTCAACTCTTACGCACCATTTTTTGGTGCGCAATTGTGAAGTGTAATTCCTGCGTGTGAAGATTTTAATGGTTAAATATAGCAACAAATAAAACGATCCTGTACAATTTCAAACCATATAACGCTAAAGTTCTGAGTGAAATGTCTTGAAAGGACCGATCGACATTTTATTCTCTTTGGCTTTCTAAAGCAAGGAAACCATTTAGCAATCTTTCTAAAGTTTCATTCCAACGTTTTATTTAAAAATTAGAAATAAAAATATAAAAACGGATTCTGTTAAACATTAAATACGTCGTTGCCAGGAAATCGTAAGAAAAATTATTGCGAAACGGTTTTCCATTTTTAAAATTAATGTTTGAAATAGCCGTACAGGTATTTGACGTCATCGTTTGAATGATTCAGTCGACCGTGACGCCCAATCGAGACACAGCGACTTATCGATCGCTGATTGGTTGAAAACATTTCAGAGCACCGGTCACCGGAGCGTGTCGGGTGCCTCTCCACGGGCGGGCCACGTGGTGAATAATAGATGGCCCTGCGATGGGGGGGGGGGGGGGGGGGGGGTCGCGGCGTTAGGGGTAGAGGGGTAAAGGGTAAGACGAATTAAGTTGTAAATTGGTTGAAAGATGGCATAGAAGCTTAAGAGTTAACTTTATTTAGGTTGGAAGAAAAATAATCAAAGTTTTTTTTAATAATAAAAGTACATATAGAGTCATATAGATCAGCACTTAATATAGTATAGAATACATAGGAAAGTGCTGAATTTTATAGAATCGCACAGCGTCACGCAATATTGCAAAGTCCAACAATCACACAAAATCACACAGAATTACAGTCACTCAGCGTCACACAAAATCACACAGCGTCACACAATTACGCAAAGTAACTCAGCGTCACGCAATCACATATAATCACTCAGCGTCACACAATCACACAGGGTCCAAGAGAGTCACAATGTATCTCAATGTTATCAAGTTGGGTTTAATAAAAAAAAAGATCTAAGAATGAATCATCTGGGGCAGGGGTCTCCAAACTACGGCCCGCGGGCCGGATGTGGCCCGCTAGGTCCTCTCATTCGGCCCTCGGAGATCTTTTTGTCCACGGAAAAAAATGTTTGTTGTAGGTGGCTGGGGAAAAATGCCAACCCAATGAGATGCCTGGAAGAAACTCTGGCCCCCGAACTTATATTTGATAGTTAATGCGGCCCTCGGGCTGAAAAGTTTGGAGACCCCTGATCTGGGGTATAAAGTAACCAACGATTCGGTTATCTAAAAAACACATCAATGAGCTTAAAGGTAACGAAGCGGAAATTAGTTCTAACGCACATTGAACTTGCTGGTTCTCAAAGAGACTCACCTGATGATAGCGTTGGCACTTTTAAGACAAATCTGTGGTTTTTATCGTAGAATCGGAATACGCGCATATGCAATATAGCATTATGGGTTTTTAGTGTATTTTAGTGTTGTTATAAACTGTAAGCAAGGCTTCTGATCAAAAGTTTTTGATCACTTATACATGAAAATTTGAAGGTAGCTGGGTATTAGTTTCTATATAAATTAATGAAATCAAAGTGTCCAACTCTACTTCACCTATCCTTACCCTACTGGGGTTGAAATCACGTGATTTGTCTCTGCTTGCAGGTTTCAATGTGAACCATCTGGACATTGCCCCGCGGTACGCCAGTATTCTGATGGGACTGTCGAACTCTGTGGGGACGCTGGCTGGGATGTTGTGTCCTATCGTAGTGCAGGCCATCACCAGCGATGGTAGGAATGATGTTGAGAAGGTAGGTCACACTCCACACACCCCCACACACACCCCCCCACAACCCCACATCCTGATGGGACTGTCCAACTCTGTGGGGACCTTGGCTGGGATGTTGTGTCCTATCGTAGTGCAGGCCATCACCAGCGATGGTAGGAATGATGTTGAGAAGGTAAGTCACACCCACACACAACCCACACACACCCCACACACCCACACACACACCCACACACACACCCACACACCCACACACACACCCACACACCCCCACACACACACACTCCCACACACACCCACACACATCTCACACACATCATCAGTGATGATAGGAATGATGTTGAGAAGGTAGGTCACACTCCACACACCCCCACACACACCCCCCCACAACCCCACATCCTGATGGGACTGTCCAACTCTGTGGGGACCTTGGCTGGGATGTTGTGTCCTATCGTAGTGCAGGCCATCACCAGCGATGGTAGGAATGATGTTGAGAAGGTAAGTCACACCCACACACAACCCACACACACCCCACACACCCACACACACACCCACACACACACCCACACACCCACACACACACCCACACACACACCCACACACCCACACACATCACCAGCGATGGTAGGAATGATGTTGAGTGGGGAAGTCACACCCCCACACACACACTCCACACACACACCCACACACATCACCATTGATGGTACGAATGATGTTGAGAAGGTAAGTCACACACCCACCCCACACACCCACACACAACCCACACACACCCACATCCTAATGGGACTATCCAACTCTGTGGGGACCTTGGCTGGGATGTTGTGTCCTATCGTAGTGCATGCCATCACCAGCGATGGTAGGAATGATGTTGAGAAGGTAAGTCACACCCACACACAACCCACACACACCCCACACACACCCCACACATCTCACACACATCACCAGCGATGGTAGGAATGATGTTGAGAAGGTAAGTCACACTCCACACACCCCACACACACACCCACATCCTGATGGGACTATCGAACTCCCACACCCCCCACACACACTCCACACACGCCCACACACATCACCAGCGATGGTAGGAATGATGTTGAGAAGGTAAGACAACCCCACACACCCCACACACACCCCACACATATCACCAGCGATGGTAGTAATGATGTGGAGAAGTTATTAGAGACACCACACACCCCCACATCCCCCCACACACCAGTGATGGTAGGAAACAACGTTGAGAAGGTTAAACAGACACCCACACACACTCACACCCACAAACGCACATCACCAGCGATGATATAGTACGTCAAACATGTATAATAGATCTCCACAACTCACAATATAAACAGTACAAAATATAGGCAAATTAATTTAAGTAGAAAACCTAGTTAAAATAAAAAAATTACAAATTAAAGTGGTGATTTTAAATTTTAATTTAACACCCCAGCACACGTCACCTGTATATTTTGAAAGCTCAAATCAAATGTAACAAGCTTTTCCTGTATATTTTGAACGCTCAGATCAAATGTAACAAGCTTTTCCTGTATATTTTGAACGCTCAAATCAAATGTAACAAGCTTTTCCTGCGACATGAAATGTGTTTTATCTAGTCTCTGATCCAATTTGATTCTCCCTGCGCTGTAGGTTTTTATGGCAAAAAATAAAACTTATAAGAATCAGCACAAAGGGACAACAAAAGTAGAATTCTAAAATTATTTTCGCAGCTTTTGAACTGTGAACACATAAGATAACCAGTTTGACATTATGAAAATAAAAGGTAAAATAAAACTGCATTAAAAATAGGAAAAAAAAACGTTTTTTTTCTGCTCAAGTAAAAAGCAGATCTTTGTTATCTTTTGTGTAGTTCAACGGATCCACTTTTACTTTCATTTTGTGCCCAAACAATTTTCGCGTGCTTAAAACAAGTAGAGAAAAAAAAACGAGGTAAAGAGGTCTTGGCACGTGCGTTGAATGTCTGGGTCTCTAAAGGAATTCTTGCAGACGATGAGCAAGGTCCTTACAGGAAGAGTCAAGTATGGGGGGTAATCGTGACAGAAATTACATATGGTTTCGATACGTTTAAAATAGTTTTTATGTGCTGGTGAATGAAGTTGGTGAGCGGTTTATATGTTCTGTCGATTTTGTGATTTTACAATTGGGAGAGTGTGTTTGTGTCGCTTTCAACGATTGGTTTTTCAGACGGTCGATTCAAAGTAGAAAAGAATAGATTAGAACATAATTTGTGAATTTGATTGATGTTTAAAGGCCTTCTGGTCACATAACTAGGATAAATGATACATTGATATAATGTATTACTTTAAATGCAATAGTAGATATGTTCTTAAAGAGTTGCATTAAAGTATAGGTGAAGTAGAGTCCCGCCATGTGTTGTCAGCTACCGACTAGGCCAGGTACCGGCTAGGTCAGGTACCAGCTGTAGCCGGCTTCAAAAGGATTCGAACCTCAAGATGAAGTGTCTAACAAAACTAGTAAACAAAAAAATAATTAAAAAGTAAAGCAAGTTGAACATCTAAAAATGTGAACTAATTAGAACTAATTCCCAAAAGGCAGCATTTCCAAAATATACAATTACAGAAAATATTGTGGCATTGAGGCTTTAGTGTAGGCGTGTATTTGGGATGAGTGGGGGGTGGGGGGTGGGGGGGGGAGAGTGTGATGAGGGTTAATTTAGTGAGGGGTTCAAATCCTATGTTGATGGGGGTGGAAGGAGTGGAGAGGGGAGGGGCTAGATGGTTAAGTGGTTACATTCCTACTTAGATTTGTAGGGAAGAAATTGGGGTGGGGTTATATTGGCGATGGGTAAAAATCCTACGTTTATTTGGGTTGGGGTGGATGGTAAAGAGGGAGTTAAATTAGTAAATGGTTAAAATCCTACGTCGATTGGTGGGAAAGGAGGGTGGGGCTAGGTTGGCCAGGGGTTAAAATCCTGCGACAGCATAATTTCCTAGCAGACGTGACGATGGTTTATTTATGAGAAAGGGAGCTAATTTAATTTGACGTCTCCGGCACGGGAATAAGGCCGGCCCCACCCTTAAGTCGTCCACAAGATGGGTGGTGGTTTCTTCTGTAGCGGGCTGGGCCAGGGTGGTGGTTTCTTCTGTAGCGGGCTGGGCCAGGGTGGTGGTTTCTTCTGTAGCGGGCTGGGCCAGGGTGGTGGTTTCTTCTGTAGCGGGCTGGGCCAGGGTGGTGGTGTCTTCTGTAGCGGGCTGGGCCAGGGTGGTGGTTTCTTCTGTAGCGGGCTGGGCCAGGGTGGTGGTTTCTTCTGTAGTGGGCTGGGCCAGGGTGGTGGTTTCTTCTGTAGCGGGCTGGGCCAGGGTGGTGGTGTCTTCTGTAGCGGGCTGGGCCAGGGTGGTGGTTTCTTCTGTAGCGGGCTGGGCCAGGGTGGTGGTTTCTTCTGTAGCGGGCTGGGCCAGGGTGGTGGTTTCTTCTGTAGCGGGCTGGGCCAGGGTGGTGGTTTCTTCTGTAGCGGGCTGGGCCAGGGTGGTGGTTTCTTCTGTAGCGGGCTGGGCCAGGGTGGTGGTTTCTTCTGTAGCGGGCTGGGCCAGGGTGGTGGTTTCTTCTGTAGCGGGCTGGGACAGGGTGGTGGTTTCTTCTGTAGCGGGCTGGGCCAGGGTGGTGGTTTCTTCTGTAGCGGGCTGGGCCAGGGTGGTGGTTTCTTCTGTAGCGGGCTGGGCTCTTGGGAGAGTCGTAGCTTACTCTCAAGACAGGGGCGTAGTGGGGGGGGGGGGGGGCTTATGCTTGGGATGAGTTCGGGGTGGGGTGATACAATGGCGGATGTGGGGTAAAGTGTGACAAGAATACTATGGGGAGGGGGAGACGACGTATACGGTTTGAGGGCTTATGTGCGAGAGTGTACGTGTACAGACGATGTTGTGTGTGTGTGGGGGGGGGGGGGGAAGATGACGTCAGGTGGGTTTTGAGGAGAGGACATCGACGTAGAAAAACATGTGGGCTTACATAGAGAGTAAAGCCTTTTCTAAAGGCGTACACAAATTTGTAGGTTTTCAAATAGAGTTAAGGCTCTCAAAAATATATGGGCTTACAGAGTAAAGCCTTTAATAAAAGGATCTTACTCAAAACTTTAGCAATTATACACTGATTCACTTAGTACCAAGTCCATCACTTCAACATTTTCGATTATTTTGTTTTATAATTTTCATTTCAACTATACCTAAAATACCATATCTTTTTAAAATTTATTATTCATAAAGTTTATCTTATACAACTTCATGCTTTTAAAAATTCTAATTGTTACTTATCTTGAACGAATTCCGGCTATTTTTCAGGCCAAGAGTGAGTGGCAGTATGTCTTCCTGATAGCCAGTCTCATCCACTTTGCCGGCGTCATCTTCTACGGCATCTTCGCTTCAGGCGAGAAACAGCCGTGGGCGGAACCCCCAGGGGATGAGACATGGAGGCCGGAGCACACACTCAAGTAAGTAGAGCCACGCCCCCAGCACAAGTACAGCCACGCCCCTCAGCACACTTAAGTAGAGCCACGCCTCTGATGCACACACACAAGTAGAGCCACACCCTCAGCACACACTCAAGCAGAGCCAGACCCCTCAGCCCACACTCAAGTAGAGCCACGCCCCTCAGCACAAGTAGAGCCACGCCCCACAGCACACACTCAAGTAGAGCCACACCCCTCAGCACACACTCAAGTAGAGCCACACCCCTCAGCACACAAGTAGAGCCACACCCCTCAGTTCATACTCAATTAGAGCCACACCCCTCAGAACACACTCAAGTTGAGCCACGCCCCTCAGCACACAAGTAGAGCCACACCCCTCAGCACACAAGTAGAGCCACACCCCTCAGTTCATACTCAATTAGAGCCACACCCCTCAGAACACACTCAAGTTGAGCCACGCCCCTGAACACATAAAGTAAGTACAGCCACGCACCCTCAACACACACTCAAACTAAGAATTTATTACCATATAACAAGAAATGGTGATTATAGATTAGGATTGGCGAACACTAGCTAACATTGGCGATTACTAACTAGTATTGGCGAACATAGGAGTTCTTTAGTTTACAATGCAAATAGCATGTAGGTACTCCTAATACAGGAACACAGCAAACATTAAAATAACAGTAAATTAACTTACTTCCCTACTATATAACGGCATTTACGTGATACAAGATCGCGAGTTAAACCTTGAATGGTTTGGTTAACTTTTATGTAACGACGCCATCACACCATACATCAACAAGACCCTGCTGCTAATTTACTCGAAGACTATAAAGTTTGTGTTCTTCCCTCAAGAAATCGATGGCTTAAGTGTACCAATCTAACTCGTTTCTTCATGTTCTTGTCTTTTTATTGCTCCAACCCGCATTTATATTATTTTAATAGTCTGTTATTTAGTTGGTTTTTTATTTTTGTTTTGTTTGAAAATGTCAACATATTATTTCAAGATTTGTTTTTGTTTGGCTTGTTACAAGATATTACTTTAATTTCACCATTTATTTCAGTTTTTAAAATATCATTAAAAAATTATTTTTTTTTTACTAATTTTTTTTTCTGCGTTTCGTGTTTTAGACCCAACGACGAGAACTGGAAGTTCAGTAACCATAGCAACAGCCACTACAACGGCGGCTGCGCCAACTACGGCGCCACGACGGAGAAGGGCTACGACGACTTCATCCCCACCCAGTACAGCCCCGTGTACGAGACGAAGGAGACCTTCGTGCAGAAACCCGCCAAGGAGAAGTACTATAGTGACGACAGCGATAAAGGTTTTTAGCACCGGAGCGCGCCCTTAACAGACGTGATGAGATGAATTTTATCCTTGTGATTTTAAGGTGATGGGGAACAATTGGATTATCTCTTTTTATTTTTAAAGAGTTTTAAAATTATTTTTTAATATATTTTTTAGTAGATGATTCTGAAAATTAATACGTTTAAAATATTATCTTTATAATTTGTTTTAAGGGAAGTAATTAATAAATTAAACAAATTTAGAGTTGTCTTGTGGTATTGCAAAATAAAACAACAACAACAACCGCATAAGTTATCAGTAAAAAAGTTAAAATATTTATAATTACAAAGCTAATTTACAATAACAAGACTGATTTATAACAGAGCAACATTAGTTATAAGCTTTATGTCGTATTTACTTACCAAATTTTTAAAGCCAAAATACTTAAAACCAATTAAAATTATTATTTTTTTCATCTTTCACAAGCAATAAAGTCTCCCCCCGTGATAAGTTTCAGTTTAGTTAATTACTAATTAAATTAGGACGATTTTATGTAAATTTTAACTGTACATATACAGGGGTCATAAGGTCAGTTACTTTTTATAGTTGTGTGTGTGTGGGTTGGGGGGTATGTGTGTGAATACAAGGTCTAGTAAAGTATGGAGTTCAGACGACTTCATTGTGGTTTATTTATTTTCATTCAGTCTTGTTAGGCCCCCGAAGAGCAAAGGGCTGCAACCACACCTCTCCTCCATACTTTGTTGTGGGCTGCTATCTTTATCTGAGCCCATGTAAGCCCCCGATTATAGTTCTTAGTTTTAATTAATTTGGTTGCACTAAAAAACACCCTAGTAGGATTTCAAATAACCAACAAAATTTTTAAAAAAAATTTATTTAATAACATTCCTGAAATATTATATTAAAACATGTTTTGTTTAATTTTGTTGTGGAAGATGAGCGGTCATGATTCGGTGCATCTTGATATGCATGTGTTAATTGCATAATTTTATTTTGTTTTGCTACTTTCAGTAGTGTAAAAATGCTTACCGATGAATTGAATATTGAAAACATATATATCTGAACATATATATCTGAAGTGAAGTTTGAGTAACAAAACCTATTACACCACAGGAGAATGTACATTTCTTTAAACAGTTTTTTATGTGTTTTTAATTGGTTGTGATTCACATGTCTTTTTAACAACGTATTTGAAATATTATTTGTAACATGTGTGGTATGTATGTGTGTATGTATGTGAGTGTATACGCTAACTCAAAGCTGATTAAATTGACAATTTTGTTGACGAATTTACAGAAATGTATTTATGTACTTAATTATTAAAAATCGTTCTAGAATTGTTGTACATATAATTTGTAGAAAAAGTTTTTTTTTTTATTTCTAATGTTTGTGTTAATTAAATTTTCCAAAGATATTCATATCGTGGTGATAGCATATGTGTACAATTTATACGTCATCATTTTGACCATGCCCATAGCTTGTACATGTACATATCAAGTAGAATTAATTTACATACAGTGTTATTTGTTTTTAGTTACTAATTAAAAAATTCTCAACCAATGTTGTCAAATAAAATGTGTTGTTAGTGTTTAATTAAAAGCGGGCGGTAGTTTAGATCTACTGATAATTAATTTGAATCGGCTGCTATGTTACTCTGACCATATACTTGGCAGATGAAGTAGAGTTCACCTGTGACCTCGGCATAGAAAGGAATAGTGTGATCAACATTAGGCTCTATTATCTTTACTTTCCTTTACGTGAGTCAAGTACCCAATAGAGCTGGTTTGACCCAGGTACTCATTAGAGCTGGGTTGACTCAGGGATGTCGTACGGAGTATGCAGGTAGATGAGACACTATAGTGTCAACAAGGCCTACAGAAACTTATGCTCACAAATTATTCTGTTCATCAATCGTTGTTTTCAAGGGAAACAACTCAATACCTTCCGCCACAGAAGAACAAGGAGTTATCTTTCTGTGTCCAGACTATTTGTACGAATAAAGAAATATGTTCTAACATTTCACAGAATGGTGATAATTTACAGTTTTACACTCTATGTAACCATGATATTATACAAAGTTATAGACCTTAAATCTATTAAACACAATTTTTTTTTAACGCAATAGTCAGTTAAGGTTTTACGTCAAACAAACACGGGCTCAACTGAGTGACAACACAGTTGAATCTCCACTGTGCGAGAGGGTAGAGCTAAGCTAAATCCAATCGCACTCTCTAGTGCTGTTTCAAATTTCGGGAAATCCCATTGTGCGAACACCCCCTTCGCACGAAGACGTAGAGTGAAAGCGCGTCGGTGCGCACACAAAGAGATGGTCGGATAGTCGAGTGTGGTCGATCTCGTTGAAAAGGCGACTGGAGAGCAGTACTGTGTGTATGTGTGGGGAGTTGGTGGTGGTGGTGGTGGTGGGGTTGAGAGGGGGGGGTGAGTTTCTTTTTTCTCTCTTGGCAGTCAGGTCAACCCCCCCCCCCCCTTCCTCCATCCTCCCCACCCCCGGGTACTCGTTTAACGTCTCGCCTTATGGACCTCTCCACGGATCGAATGTCTTAGCCTGTATCAGCGGTACTATCCGAGAGGGTAATCTCATTAAAGCTCGCCACTTTCTGGCCGCGTAATTCCATTAACCGGCTATACCGTGAACACATTTTATTCTTAAACCAGATGAATGACCCGTTGAGGGAAAAAATACAACGGGCGCTAGGTTGATAGTGTTGTCTTTTTTCTCTAAACCGAATCCAAAACTAAAATCACCACCTCAACTTCAAATTTAACCGGAAACAAAAAATGTCCACCCACATCCGAAGCACGTCTGCAAAACAAGTAAAGTATAACATTAAAAGACCTTTTATATGTAGGTCTATAATTCACGTGAAACGGGTACCCATGGCTAGTTATAGACTAGACCCAAAGCTAAAGGCAGTTCATGAAACCACTTCATCTTGTGAAACCACTTCATCTTGTGAAACCACTTTATCTTGTGAAACCACTTCATCTTGTGAAACCACTTCATCATGGCAAATAATCTTTGAACTGTATGAATAATTCTTAAATTTATCGCTCTTCTTGTTAGAAAATATTTTCTTTAAGTTCAGTCTCAATTGCAGCAGATGTTACTAATGCTTTACAAAACTTAATCTCTAGCGATGTCTGACTTTGTCATCTAGCATTGACTAACTCAATAAAACTGCTCAAGCGATTAAGATTTATGTTAAAAATATATTGATTACACTTAGACACTCATATCGTTACTTATAGGATTACTTCAAGGATTATAATTTTCTTGAAGTTGATCCAGAGTAAATGAGTAAATGAGTTAATCCCCATTTAATCGTATTATGCGTAAACAGTTAATCACCGGGCAATAATTGTTTGAACATCATGCAGCAGTTTTATGAGAAGGCGCGACACAGCCTACCGTTTTGCTGATCTTGCTGCCAAGGTAGACAAACTCCTGCACATCATTTACCTGTCTTCCGTCTATTGTCAATATGACCCAGTCAATATAGCCGCGTCAAAAGGGCCCCGACATATTGACTCCCGACATAAGAGCTCAAGACAATTGGGTTCCCGACAAATGGGCTCCTACTACTTATATGCGGTAATGTCAGTGTCTTTATTATCGAGTAAATGACGTCATCATTATTGTGTATTGTGTATTTTTTTCGGCATTGGCTTTTTAATTCTATGAGTGTGACTTAACGGTTTGAAAAAAAACCCAGGGAACATCAGTTCATTGTGGGAAACCAGTTCACAGACCAGTTAATTTTAGTGGATACTTGACAATAGAGATGATCAGTTGAATGGTGGCTGGACATTGTGCTAGCCACCTAATCCATAGGAAATAGTTGCAATCTACTTGATCTACCTCCGGGAATATGCTTGGCTGTGACAATTTACATTGGTTTATTATTTTAGGAAGATCTATGAAATTAAGCTTTAAAAAGGGATGAGGCCCATATTCAGCCTAAATTCAGCTATTATGTACGCAGTTTGGCCCTGCCTAAATAAAAAAAAAAGCTCAGCCGATGAACTACAAGATTTTTAACTCAAGAAAATAAATGTTAACACTGCGTAAAATTTGCCGATGATAAATTACTTTTAAAATGTGTAGGACTTGGTTTAAACAACATATGTTGCACAGGATTACATTCTTTAAAAAACAAATCGCCAATTAATGTGAAGTCAACAACCAAGCGCGAAATATTTTCTTGCCCACGTAGCATGTCATAATTATTTAGTGCTAAAGTGGGTTTAAATTCCGTCCCGTCCAGCTTGAGTTAGGCCACTTTTGACATAACATGAACTAACTTATTTTAAAACAGGCGAATGTGTACCGTGGGTTTTTATAGTAATATCTCACAGTGGTAAGAAGGAGGGGAGGGCTTCCCCAGAAAATTTAGTCCACCTCCACCTCCGAAATTTTCAAATACCCCCCTCCTGCGGGGAAGAAAATGTCTGAAATAAACACTGGTCGCATTTGTAGATCATACAGACTAAAGGTAGACCCTACTTCAGTAATAATATACCGACCCGTTTTCTACTTTTGGCCGCTAAATCTCAATCATGAAGATCGTGTTTCTTTCAGATTTTTTTCTCCGAGGGGAGGGGGGGGGGTGCGGATGTTCTTCGGCAGTGGTTTATTATTTATTATTCTTGTCAAACTTGAATTAACTTTCATCTCATCAGAGGCGTCGCTTGGCGGGGGGTGCGGATCGCACCAGGTGACAAATGTTTTTTGAATAACAGATAAGTCAATCAACGACAGTAGAGCGGGTGACACCAAAATTTAATGACACGATGAAAACGATGCTTTTTACACGTGAATTAAAAGGTGGCTTATGCGCACACATTAACTCCATTACTCCAAATATGAAGAAACCCAACATCTGAGTCAGGTACCCGTTGAAGAAACCCAACATCTGAGTCAGGTACCCGTTGAAGAAACCCAACATCTGAGTCAGGTACCCGTTGAAGAAACCCAACATCTGAGTCAGGTACCCGTTGAAGAAACCCAACATCTGAGTCAGGTACCCGTTGAAGAAACCCAACATTTGAGTCAGGTACCCGTTGAAGAAACCCAACATTTGAGTCAGGTACCCGTTGAAGAAACCCAACATCTGAGTCAGGTACCCGTTGAAGAAACCCAACATCTGAGTCAGGTACCCAACATTTGAGTCAGGCACCCAACATTGGAATCAGGTACCCGTTGAAGAAACACATAATAAAAGGTTCCTGTTTTTATAGCTTTAGAGTAAAGACTTAAAAGCAAGGGAAGATGTTGCCATATGCGGTTATTCTATTTAATTCTAGTCTATTATTCTCTGCCGTAGTCATTTTACTCTGTTGTTTTAGTCATTTTAATGTATGCCATAGTTCGGCTACTGTAGATTGAAAATGTGAGCTTTTACTCTTCCTGTTATTTTAAAGTCTCTAAAACTATTCACGATACCGGGCTTTAAGTTGATGAATTTATCAACACGGTTGTGCTGTGAGTCGAATTCATCAAAGAGTCTTATTTTTAACACATAGCGTTGATTTATTAAACAACATGATATACAAATAATAATCATTAAAAAAGTTTTTAAAAACCCACGTTTTCTGATTGAACTAAAAAGTAGAAAATAAATGCTATAGGCCCTACATCACAATAATGCAAGCGATCACTCTACTATAAGCGATCAAAAACGTGGGGCGCCGAAGTAAAAGTTATATTACTATTGATTAGATAATACTATTGACTTTTATTAGGGAGCTTGTAGAGAGTCAACAGTATTAGAAACTGTAAGAAAATCACGGCGCCCCACGTTTTTGCTCGCTTATAGTAGAGTGATCGCTTGCATTATTGTGATGTAGGGCCTATAGCATTTATTTTCTACTTTTTAGTTCAATCAGAAAACGTGGGTTTTTAAAAACTTTTTTAATGATTATTATTTTCTACTTTTTAGTCTTTGTCTGTTTGTTTGCATTAAAATCTTGCTATCGATTTTATCTTTTCACTTTTTTTGGGTAAACGAAGACAACTCGTAAAAAGACAACTCGTAAAAAGACAACTCGTAAAAAGACAACTCGTAAAAAACACGTTGTTTGAATACGTTACTGACTAGAACACATAGATTTGAACCCGTGTCGAGTGGGATAGCAATCGTGTGCCCAACCACTCGACCATATCGTCTCCCCCAAACTGGCCTACCTCCTGTAAGTTTAAACTCGGTTCAAGCTAAATTCTCTGCCCCTAAGCCTGTGGCGACATGTGATCGTTCGCTTCACTGCGCGCGAGGTACGCGTCGCTGGTTTTTTTTTGTAATGGCTAGCAGAGGAGAATTATATATATAGATTATATAGCGGTCTAAAATGCTCAATAAAATGTTTCCATTGATCAATTTAGTAATAATAACAATTGAATATTCAATGGTCATCCAAAAGAAAGCTTCCCTGAAAATTTCAGCGCGCTAGCTAACTGGGAAGTGCCAGAAATTTCGATCGCAAGATTGGATTGGAAAGACAAACAAATAAATAAATAAACACACAGAGAAAGCAAGTTAAAGA